CTCCACATTGCTTGCAAGCAGAATGACACTTGAGACGTGAATGAATGCATCATGTTCACAAACCATGTTCAGAGGGGTATCGTTTTTAGTGAGTCCCCTATCGTTCTCCAAGGAAAATGCAAAAAAAAACAGTCTTGAATGAAACGCCGTTGACAAAGTGGTGCTTGATAATTTTGAAGTTGACTCATATCCTCAAAAACCCTCTCCTCCTCATGAAAAAATCCGCGCCGCTTTTTTGAAGGAGGCCCAAAGCAAAGTCCATGACTTTGAGCAAAAGAAACCTGTCGCCATCAGCCGGCCTGAGCACACAGAATCTCAAACGGTTTCGCCAGACACTGCCTTCGATTCACCGACTGGGCATGGGAACAGATGGGTTTGTCTGCATGGAGCCTTCCCTTGGTTTCCCTCCACATCTCCATCTGTTCCAGATTGCCAGTAAGATCTACATCCGAAAGATGCGCACCGACCCCAAACCTATGCTATCTTTTCTATAGCCTGCACCGAACTCCTCCCAGAAAGCGAGCTTCGGCCTGCGCCTTCTCCGGAAACCCGGCCACCAATCTGAGCATGTTGTTTGTTAGACGATGTTCTCTTTTTTCCTCAACCAACCTGGGTGCGGAGGAAGGGAATCCCTGTACTGGCATCGCCTCAGTTCGGAAGTTACTTGGGTGTGAAACCCTCGTTTTGATTCGGTACCCTTTTGAAACAAGGCAAACCAAAGGGGAAACCCTTGCCATGTTGGGGGATCCGATACCTATTTGAAGACACACCTACTTGGTTCATCCTAGGATTGTTGCTTTTGAGATGGGGTTTTGCTCACTTCAGCTATCCCAGACGCATGTTCTTTTTAGCCAATGACAGTGTGAGAGGAAACCTCAAGTTGAGCAAGCAACCAAATAACGAGAGTCCAACCAGGATATGACCTTTGCAACTGGGAATCTTAGGATGGTTTCTCTTAGGCAGGAGTCCTGAAACACTGGGACCTAGGAGGTGTCTTTCTGGGCACAGCTTTGGCCTCGGGGCAATAAGCCTCATGCAAAGTTCTTTGAAAATGCTCAGATTGATGTTGAGATGGGTCAGGAGATCTGAGATCTTTGGGTCTCATGTTTTCGTGACACATACCCAACTGACTCCCTCTGAAAGGGAATCAGTGCTTTGCTCGAGAGGTATAGGCACTGTTTCCTGGCCCGACCAGACTGCTCGCCCCGTCCAGCTGCAAGGAATATGGACTGACCCGTAAGTGTGTGAGTTTGCCATTGGAGTTACAATCGAACCATGTCAATGCAAAAAAAAAGGTGGCTGCACCCATGTTTGGTCTCTTGCGCAGAGTCTTGATTGTGACTCATTGGACAAACGGCTCCCACAAAGGCCCCCAGGGGTGTTTGGCGCCATGGGCCATCCCGTGTCGGCCAATGTCTGGGTTACGGGGCTCGGAAACACGGCTGCCCGGACGAAGCCAGCACGGCCCCCAGCACGGATACCCAAACGCACGACGGTCCTAAAGCTCTATCTTCAGCTGCCTCCTGGGACAATGCTGCCCAATGCCAAATTGTTCGCTTCCCCCAATCCTAAGGACAAAGTTGGGATTTTGGGAGGCGTCTTCTTTTGCAAACGGTGTGCCTTGCGATACAGGTCTTCCATGGATCATATAATTTGGTCGCGAAGACCCGTGCGTCTTGGAAACCATCTCTCAGCGCAAGGCCCTTCTGAAAAACACCAAAAAGAGCGCGTAGAGCAAAACAGGGCCGCCTTCCCGCGACTTTCTGCTCTGTGTGTCCAAATAACCCATCCATGATTCAAGGAATCCCCTTTTGGCGAAAGGATCTCCCTCTTTGAGCAACCCAGGATCCATGTCAATTCGCTGAAACTCACCTTTGACAATTCACAATCATTCTCGAGCATCAACGTGGGTGAGCTCATAAAAGACCTGCAGCTGAAGTTGATTCGGGCCGATCAAGGGGAAAATCCCAGGCCTCCACCTAAGTAGGTTGTCATTCGGCTGCGTGGGTCCAACGGGGTTCGAGAACGGCACAGTCCATTGGAGGGGCCATGACCTGAAACCACGAACAAATTCCTCTTCCACCTCCCCTCCCACGCAAGGCTTCTTATTGGTACGGGCAAAGCCCCAAACATCAACATGGATGGTTTCTTTCTTTTGGTCTCTTCAAACAGCAACCCAACAAGAGTGCCGATCCAAAAACGAACCACGCCTCTGGATTCTTCTTAAAATCCCCAAGCAATTTGCAGGGCGGTTCCAGGACCCAACACCGGGCCCATAAAATGTGTCTCTCTGGGAAAGTGTCATTCATTCACAAACCGGCAAAAAGGAATCAAAAGATCAGTATCTCATATCTAAGAAGGTCTAAAAGGCCTTTGTCACCCAAAGGCGAAGGGATTTTCATCAAGTTGCTTTTCAGCTCCAAAGGAGGTGGTTGTCGACAAGTGGCCATGGGACCCTTTTTTCATGGGGAAAAGGAGAGTAGTTCAATTCGGAAACCCCCTCACAAAGGGAAGGGAAACCACAACTGCGCCAGGAGAGCTCCCCAAATCCAAAGCCACACACTTGTCAAAGCACGGGCACGAACTCGGTGACAAAAAACCTTGGGCTCCGGGCTCCTCGTTTCCGCTCACACATGCGGCCGTTCCGAGGGCCCTCTCTTCGCCTGAAGGCTCGGCCCAAATGGGTCAAACTTCCTCTTGGGTGGAAGTGGGAGATGTGTTGGTTTTCCCCGTCACCCTTTTTGGGGGTGAAAGAAGGAAGCCAAAAGGAAACAACTGACACACACACACACACACATGTGTCAATAAGGAGGCGCCGGAGCTGCGGGGGGGTTCTTTTCAACTTGCATTGAAACATTCAGCTTGCCTCAAACAACACCAAATAAGGGTGACCCGAATTAGGGGCCCTTGGTATCCCCTTTCACTGCTCGAAAGGGGGTCATGTTTTTGGTCAACCACTTGGGGTACCCCACTCAAAAGGCCGTGCAAGTGGATGAAAACCTATACCAACTCACTCCAAACAACCCAACAAATCGCAACAGGCCATTTCCACGCAAGGCATGTCCTGCCTCGCTGCGCAGAACCTCCACCCCTCGTGGGCCTAGGCACTTTGCGACGTCTGATCCGAATTGGCACATGGCAGGCGTGGGCATATGTTTTGAGAGTACTTTTGTTGGAGCCGTTTAAAGCGAAACCGCAAGGAAAACCACGCATCCCAATGTTTCATTATTATCATTCTTTGGGAGGGGGGAGATGTTTTCAGATACACGCACACACCGTAAACGGTTGAGAGCAACACAAATCGATCCAGATTACTGTCATGCCGGAAAGGCAATTTCTGACACACGCACACACACACATATGCAAACAGACATACACATACACGTACACGTACGTGTATATATATATATATGTATATATCAAAGACATGACGGGAGTTCTGGATTGACTAAAGATTCTCAGCTGGGTGTGTGTGTGTGTGTCTTTTTTGGGGGACACCCAAATTGGTGGCTTTCCTTTTAGTTTCCCTAAACAGGGGTGCCCTCACAAAAGACGCTGGGGCAACTAGTTACATATTGAGAACACACCGTGCGAAGCTCACCATTCTCCAACTCCCTGAGAATCAAGTCGACGGGGACATCCTTCTCTGTCCCGCAACAAAAGTATGTCGCTCCGTATATGGAAAAAGGTCATGTTGCAAAAAAGTTAAGAAGCTAAGGGTCAGCTGAAGAGCAACCAGAAAGAGTGAGCTACGTGTGAGAACGTGCCTGGAAGAACATTGAAAAACCTCTCAAAGGGGCCTTGTGTCAGTTCCACGTCTATCTGGAACACTTGAACAGTTGTAGACAATTTCGCCCGACGGCGCCGTCTCACTGGCTCCTTGGCAGGAGCCCCCCACCCAAAATGGGGCACCCTCAAAAAAGACAGATCCACTTCACTGGAATCTTGCTCAACAAGACAGCCCCCAAGAAACCCGGCCAGTAAATCGGGAGTTCAACATGTAAATGTGTTGTTTCGTGTTTTGTTTTGGACCAAGACCAACATGCGCCTTCCAAATCAATCAGTGATTCCTTTTGGTTTCTGCATTTCTCAGAAACCACCGAATGGCCTAAGAAGCAAGAAAGGAAACCGAACACGAGCAAGTTCATTCTGGTGGCTTGGAATGATTGGCGGAGATGGAAGGTGACTCTGGGGGTGAGACAGCAATTTGGGCGTTCCCCCGGATTTGGATACAAACACCACCACCAATTCTCCGTCAGATATGCAAAAACGGGTGAGCCAGGACTCGCTGGACCACTTCGCACCCGGAGGGCCACACCGCGCGCCAGGCCCAGGCGGATTTCGGCCGGCTTTGACGGCTCCGTGCTCCAACGATATGAGAATCTACGGGCATTGTTCGGTCACTCATCTTCCAACGCGCGCTTAAGCCATGTTCCCCATTCGTATTCGAGCGCAAAGACCGCGAGAGCTTCGTTTGGCGATGAGCCGTTTGACCCCCCCCCCCGGTGACTTCCTCCCAGGCCGCATCCTTCTTAGTTTGGACGTGGGGCTCAACTGTCAGCGTCCAACAAAGCTGGCATGACTTGCATTGAAACCCGAGATCCACTTAGAAGCTGGAAACAAGGTGCATCGGAGGCTCACTTCGGCGCACGCAATCATTTAACATGACAGCAACGATTATTCACTCAGGAGAGCGTCGCCAAATGAGGTGCGATGCAATCTACTCAAACACGTTAACACATGAAACTAAATAGCAAGCACACATGCACGCACACTGCATCTGGCCATTTGCCCTCATGCAGCCATCGCTCTGCCCCACGCGAGGCTGCTCGGCGAAACATTCGTGCTTATGGCGTTTTGTCAGTTGCTGCCAATTTGCAATTAAGGACCGGCATTATCCCTCACAAGGCTAAGGCAATCTTGGTCTGAGTACTGCTACATTTGGCGAAAAATGCTGGCCTGCCAGTACTTAACTCAAAGGTTTTCAATAAACAAGACACCTGACATCGTCACAGCATCAAATGATCGGCTTAAACATCTGGTGCAAGACCATCTTGCGAATTCTGCGGCGTCAAATGATTCCTGGCACGGGGTTGGATCTTAGGCCCTCAGAAAGGGTCGTTCCAAAACCTTCCAATGAATGGGTCAATGTCTGGCCCAATGATGCTTAGGGACAATCGACAAACTCCCCCGTCCCATACCTCTAAACGAATGCTCAGACATACATGTTGACTTTCGAGATGTAATATAGCCAACACTGAAGAAACACATCAGCACAGCGCTCTTCAGAAATTCAACAAGCGTCTTCATGAATACAGCATGGAGGATCAGGATCGGAATCGATTAATTAAAAAGAAGAAGAAAAAGAAGGGCAGAGCGATGCTAATTGCGATTGGTTCGATCTGGGAAGATTCAGAGAGTGAAGCAGAATCTACGTGTAGCCGGGAGGAAGTCGTGGACAGTGCGCACCAGTTGCCGTGAATGAGAAGAGTTCTTCTTCCAAAAGGAAACGTGTACGAACAAAAGAACGTGGGACAGCCCAGGGTTGGAATTAGATGACTCCCACTGTCAAGAACCTTTGCCTCCGTGAAGTGAACAGCCAGGCTCTCTAGCTACACTTTCGATGCGCGCTGAAGCATCCGGAATCCCTCTCCAAGAACAGGCCCAACCCTTGGAGGCTCTGGCGTGGTGGCTTCAAGGGGAGTTGTCAATCTCATGGAAAAAAAAGTGTTGGGCCTCCATTGAAAGGTGGAAACACATGTTGCCAACGACCCAAACAAAACCTACCACTATCTGACAACCTCCGTGAATAATACAGTAAGGTCTATTCGAATACCCCTGTCACGGTAAGAGGGTTACCTCCAAGACTGGGTCGACTACGACGATTCGATGGTGACATCAGCAATCAGGAACTTCCAGAGAAGCAAAATAGCGACAAACATGGGAAGATAGGGGCAAGGCAAAGTGGGGACTGTTATTGGTGAAGTGAATGATTCCATTTTGCCATTCGTGATGGAAGAATGCGCATGGGTATGGTATTGTATGGATGACTGGGCAAGAACCAATTCTCTTTGATGATCAGAAGAGGGTAATACATCTCTGTGTGAAAGACAACATTCTGCTAACAAATGACACGTTCACATATCATCCCATAAGAAAATTCACGATAGCCGCCCTCGATGCCATTGAATACCCTGCGATGAAGGGAGAGAAGGAGGTGTTCAACGACCATTTGGCGGCGCTGAGCGAAGTATCCGGCAGTTCCCGTCGAAGAACCCGACGAGGAAGAGGATGCTGCTGGAGACGAGAGGGATGAAGCTGGAGGAAGTGATGAAGATGAAGTTGAGATAGAAATCGAAGCTGGGAGAGGGGTGAAGAGAAACAAAGGCACATTGAAGCACGAAGCAAGCACGCTGGAGCACATAGTCACCCACACATTTGCGAACCTATTGCGATGTCCGCGAGAGAGTCGGGCAGATAGGTGTCGAGACAGGCACCAACGTGTTCGCGGCACAAGATGCGCATACTGGGATGAGGATGGCCTATCCCACTTCGGACGGTTCCGCCGATGAGGGCGTCAGTTCATGGGGAGAAGGAAGATCAGGGTGGCATATGGTGATTATGCGTATGCGCCCTAGTTTACGAGAGCTTGCCAGCAGTTGGGAATAACATTTGATCACTCGCTCCCAATAGCATTTGGTCCTGTCGTTGACTTTGACTACGAGTGCAGTCCATCACATAATGTTACAGAATGGAGGGATGAAGAAAACTGTCGTACATCCGGGAACGAAAGGAATGTTAAGCGCAAGCCACGTTGAATTCTACCCCCCTACGAGGGACACGCTGTTTGCCGGTCGTTCAACGCTCCGTTACTTCCAGTTGCATCTTTGCCAGGCCAAACTTCGGCCCCCTGTTCCCAGCCAGTCGGAGAAGTCCAAGTGTTGAAAATCACAGCCGCTCAGCGCGGAGTGCATGCAGGACAGAAATGACACTCCAACGTTTGTGACAAATTTCAACTCGTGGGGTTTCCATTCCCAGAAAAGAAACAGTTGGGAACAAGTACCACCCGAGGCAATGTTCATTCCCAACAAATTGCGACCCCTCGTTGACACCTTCAAGGTGAATCCTGGAGAGAACCACCCATTCTTGGAGGCACCCTCCATTCTTGGAAGCACCGACGGACAAATCCACTCGGCTTTTTGGCTCTGTCCTCCCAAACTTTTTGCGGACGGCCTCAGCCTGGCAATGATCTCAGACCTAAGCCCCGAGTTTCAACCTGGATGAAGCGTCAAAAAGGTAAACAATAGTGACGACATCGACCAAACGATTGTTCCAATGGGTGGAATTTCAGGGTCTTCCTTTCTCTCTCTCAAAAGCGTTCCTTAGGCGCCTTAGGGGTTCCCCATCTCATGCCTCCAATCTTGTCTGCATGCTGCACCATGGGTGGTATCTCGCATTCAAAGCGCGGAGTCAGAGCCTGGAAGGAGAGATGAAAAGCCACAAGGCCCAACAAGAAACGGCTGTGTTCAAAGGCTTGAATATGAAAGCCCTGTGTGCCTTCCAAGAGGAAAGTGGTCTTCAAGAGGGCTTTGCACAATGGCAGGTATTTGGAGAATCCTCCTGACCTTTGAGCCTCTTCCAGAAAACAAAACTGCCCGTGCCCGTGTCTGCCGAACTGTCGTGGCCTTCTTTCTTCTCGCTTCCGCCGCAGCCTTCTCCTTCTCCTTCAGCATGGCCTCTCGGTGCACCAAGGCGATGGCCAGGTCGGTGGGCAAAAAGGACACCCCTTTCGCTGCTTGATTTTCGAAGGCAAACCCACTCCAAGACAAGGAACACAAGGGCACCGGAGGTCTGGAACTGTCTGGCCCTCGCCTCTTGAATGAAGTCCACTCCCACCACCTCACAGCGGCCAATGCAGGGCTTGGCACGATGTTTCCAGAAGCTTCCTCCAGCCAGCTTGAAAATGAGAACCCTCTAATTACTTCTCAGCCCGGCAGGATTTGAAGTCATCCATCCGGAATCCTGTCTACCTGGACCTAGCAAATCTGCTACTGCAGAGAATCGCCCCCTGGTCATGGCTCCAATTCCCCCTTTGCATGCATCGGGACCCTGCCTTCTTGTTGCAGTCGCCGGGAAAGCGAGCCAGGGTACTCGCGCGCTCCTCTGCTACCACCACCACGTTGTTCCTCACCTGAAACAAAGCAAAATGAGAGCCTAAAACTGGAATTTTCGTCGTCTGTGCTGGGGTTTAATCGCTATGTGCAGAAGGAGTGCTCACTACCCAAACAACCAAGCCTGCAGGTTGGTGACCTACATATTCGTCATGGGGCAGCGGTGCAAATGCCCGGTGATGCCTTCAGCCTGTACAATGTTTCAATTGACCTTGGTAGGTGTTAGAAAGCCACAAATAAAGCCATGCAAAGGGACGCTGAGTAGTTGAGACCAGACTGCTTTAAGATTCTAGAAGTCCTTAAATGATCTCACATGATGGAGTAAAGTTTGCCAAGGTGCCAACAGGGTCAAACAAATTCGAACGGATGTGCCATCGAAGTGGCAGCGTGAGCATCGCTTGACCAGTGCAAGTCTACACTGCAAATGATCTATGGAGCCTCAAACCCTTGGGCAGCGGCACGATCCGGTCAGCAGGGCTGCTCTTTTTGGTTTGAGTTGAGGGAAGGCGGCTTTTGCATCACCCGCATGATTTGCACAGCTGACCCATGGAAAGTCTGCACATCATCAACCGCCAACCTTTGCATCAAGGGCGGGCCCCAGGAGCATCTTGAAACCATCTCAGCTGTGGTCGTAAAGAGGGCTCCGGACATGATCTTCCTCAAGCAATGAATCCCACTAGAGAGCCCCCTCGCAATCACCTGTAGGTCCCAGCAAACCCATCACCCTGACATGGGTGCTTCCAGCTAAATTCCGCGACCACTCTCTCAAAAGTTGTGTTGCTCTGTTGCTGCCCGTTAAGAACCAACAAGACAAGCGGCGCTCAACTTTCGAGAAACACCAAAGTAGTTGCCCCCGTCCGCAGTTCACCTCGGCGATGACAAAGTTCCGAGGGTGCGCGGTGAACACCGCCCGGATGACCTGCCGATTTTAACATGGAACCCGTTCCCCCAAAAAAACAAAAGCACCGTGAATGGCGGCTAACATTGGCAAACACTGGACGTGCGCTTAGGGAAGTGGTGTGAAGGGGCCCCAAGGTACCCAGGACCTGAGAGTTGCAGAAAGTTTGGCAATAGACCCCAGGAAGGTGGGATTCCCATATCACAGGTAAGGGATAAGAGCCCAAAGGGCGTTACCACTTGGCTGTTGAATGGTTTTGGCCCTAGCAAACATGATAACGGGATTGGATAGAGGAGGACATCCATCCCCAGTCGAAATGTCTGCCATCTGACTTGCACACGCCTAAACAACAGGTCGCAGGTCCGTGCTTACAATCAAACCAATCTGCTGACTACGCGCTTCAACCGTTGTGCAGCAGTCTCACTTGCTATGCCAAAGGTCGATCTTTCGAGGAACCAAAAGCCGCGGGTGTTCTCAAATTAGGAGCCCCTCCCCTCCAAGTGCCTGCTCTCCTTTTGGTTTCCTCTCTCAAGTACGTATCATCCAAGGGTTCCTCCTCTTAGACAAACTCATAGAAAATACGGAATTCCCCAAAATCGGCGATTCTCCTTCTTTTGAAAGCTTTGGGGAGTAGGCCGGAGCAGGTGCGGGCGAGGGTTGCGAACGGGCTTCGGCAGGAATCCGGGTTGCTGTTGGGATCCAACCTGGTTTTATTGATGTCGTTTGTTTCAACAAACACACCAAAGACATCCAAAGAAAATGACACACCCATGTTGGGTGACCATGGCGGCGTGTGTATGTGTGTGTATAGTGTGTGGGTGTGTGGGTGTGTGGGCGTGTGGGCGTGTGGGCGTGTGGGGGTGTAGTGTGTGGGTGTGTGGGTGTGTGGGTGTGTGGGTGTGTAGGTGTGTGGGTGTGTGGGTGTGTGGGT